GGGAGAAGTGGACACACCGGAGGGCAGGGAACAACTACAAGCAGACCTGGACAGGTTGGACATGTGGGCAGAAAACAACAGAATGCAATTCAACAAGGAGAAATGCAAAGTGCTGCACCTAGAGAGGAAAAAAGTCCAGCATACCTACTGCATAGGAAATGACCTGCTTGTTGGCACCGAACCGGAAAGGGATCTTGGAGTCCTAGTGGACTCCAAGATGAACATGAGTCGGCAGTGTGACGAAGTCATCAGGAAAGCTAATGGCACTATCGTGCATCAATTTGGGCATCACACTTCAAGAGGGATGTGGATAACCTGGAGAGGGTGCAGAGAAGGGCCACTCATATGGTTAAGGGCTTGCAGGCCAAGCCCTATGAGGAGAGACTAAGGCACCTGGACCTCTTCAGCCTTTGCAAGAGAAGGTTAAGAAGCGACCTTGTGGCTGCCTATTAGTTCATCACGGGGGCACAGAAGGGAATTGGTGAGGTTTTATTCACCAAGGCGCCCCCGGGGGTTACAAGAAATAATGGCCACAAGCTAGCAGAAAGCAGATTTAGACTAGACATTAGGAAGAACTTCTTCACAGTTAGAGTGGCCAAGGTCTGGAACGGGCTCCCAAGGGAGGTGGTGCTCTCCCCTACCCTGGGGGTCTGCAAGAGGAGGTTAGATAGGCATCTGCGTCCAGTTCTGGGCACCGCACTTCAGGAGGGATGTGGACAGCATTGAGAGGGTCCAGAGGAGGGCCACCCACACGATCGGGGAGCAGCAGGGCAGGCCCTACGAGGAGAGGCTATGGGACCTGAACCTGTTCAGCCTCCACAAGAGAAGGCTGAGGGGGGGATCTAGTGGCCTGTTACAAACTACTCAGAGAGGACCAGCAGGCATTGGGGGAGTTCCTGTTCCCCCAAGCACTACCAGGAGTGACTAGAAATAACGGTCAGAAGCTGGCATAAGGTAGATTCAGACTAGACATCAGGAGGCGCCACTTCACAGTCAGAGCAGCTAGGACCTGGAACCAACTTCCAAGCAAAGTGGTGCTAGCTGCTACCCTGCGGGTCTTTAAAAGGAGGTTAGACTAACACCTTGCTGGGGTCATTTGACCCTAGTACTTTTTCCTGCCATGGCAGGGGGTCGGACTCGATGATCTGCTCAGGTCCCTTCTGACCCTACAAACTATGAAACTAGTAGGACATTTTTGTAAACTTCTATTCAAAATCCACAATCCAATGCAACTTGTGCAGTTGGTCAGTAATTATGAAGCTCTGCTTATGTTTATAGGTGTAATTAAACAGTGTCTCAGTTCATGACTAAAGTTCAAAATTCCATCTTTCAGCCTTTATATTCTAAATTAAAATTATAATTAAAATAATTTCTATTCATGAAAGATCCTCCAAGGACTATTTTTATGACTCAATTTAGGTATCCATAAATGAACAAAACATCTCTTTACATTTAACATTTGTACATATTTCTGCTATAAAAAGTCAATGGTCCACGAGTGACTGAAAAAGAAGATGTAAAGAATGCCAAAAATACTTCCTGAAATCAGAGAATATTTTGATGTTAATATATAACAGCAGATTGTCAATCCCCATGTGTGTCAGAGTATTTTAATTAATTGAATTTGATTATCAAGAGATCTATCTTTTCAATTACACTGTATTGAAATGATCTGTAAAATCAGGTCACTGTCACAAGCTGAGGGACAAGCCACAATAAGTTTTTAAAGGGAGGGTTATAGGAATCAACGTTGTATTAAAAAGAAAACAAATGGGTTTTTTTGTCATTAATAGAAGTTTTATGAGACCTCAGGACATTTTTGGAATTTAAATAGAAGTTCTTTAAAAAAAAGAGTAAGATTAACGAACAAAGCACATTGAAATTTATAGTCTGCTAGGAAATCTACAAAAAATGCTCAGGTACAGCAGTGATGTGACCATGAGGTTATTTCACAGAAAACATAATATTTGTTAAATATCTTCTCATTCTACATATAAAGACCCATTCATTTAATAAGTGTTTCAGGGATGTATTTGGTAGCCATGTTGGTCTGAGACAAAAAGAAATGCAAAAATCTAAAATTCTTGGTTCAGAGATGATACTTTTTACTAGACCAATAATTTAATAAGTGTTTATTCCTGTAAAATGGCAGAATTATAAAGAATATTAGAAACCACATATCTGTTGATTAAAAAATATATGCTTGAAACATTATGCCTTCTTAGCTTACAAAACTTCAGTTATGCAAAGACCCAATTTACTCATTTGTTGTACATCATTATACATAGGTAACAGTTTTAATGAGTGATCTTTTTGTTAAACATAGAACGTGTTCCTAAAAACTATCCAAAATTGTATCATTATATTTATAAATTTAGACAAAAGCAGGTTGGTTACTCAGGTAAAGAAGATTCCCAAGTCACTATAGAAGAGAAATAGTAGTAATAAAGACCTGCTGAAAGTGCAATTACTATTTTTTTGTTCAGTTTAGTTCCTTATTTGCACTTGAAAGATGAGAGATCTTTATAAGCTCATAAATTACTGGAGTGCAATTTAAATGTTAAAAATGAAAAAAAAAGACTAAAGTTTTCCTTTATACAAAATAATCTTCAAAAGTAAGTTTCAAAATGCTCTCTCATATAGCCACTTTAAAGGGTTATTTTTTTCACCTAACTGAAACACAGTAACGCACACTGAATAGAAATATATGTTTCAAATTTTTGTGCTTAGTAAAACAAGACTGCCCTCTGTTGTTGATTAACTCAGGATCAACATCTTGGGCTCAAGTTAATATATACTACATAAACTACCCAGCTGATTTGTCAATACAACCTCTGAATTTGAACATAAAATTGGTTTAAATGAAAATACAAAACATTATTTTTAGAAGTAATGCATTGCCCTCTACACAGAAACAAACGAATAAATAAAAGTAATAAAATGGTATGACTTACCTGTTCATAATACTGGAGATTACTCTCAGCCACATTAGTAAATGCTGATTTCATATCGTATTGCATGTTTTGTTTCCATCTATCCCAGTCAGCTTTCAAAGCATTATTGGCACATTCTACTTTATCTTCAAGTTTTCCAATCTCTTCTCTAAGCTAAATATAAATTTTAAAAATCAGAAAACGTCATTATTTAATATGTACCAAGTGTTCAAAGCATAGTAAAATGACCGGTATTGGAGAAGACAGGTTAATACTATACCTAGTGTGGAGAGAGAATTTTGGGGGTTAATGTTATATTTTATTCAAACCAAGTGGATCACTACAATTCCTAGAATACTAATAAGATGAAAAATTCAGGTAAGAATTAAACTGTCACTGAAAACATTTGTATTAATTATAAGAGTAAGAGAGTCTGACACTGCTCTGTTAGCACTTAATAATAGTAATGTATCAAACAAAATCTTGGGCAGGTTGGGAGGAGAAGGTTATGGAAGTAGAATACAATTATCCAAACTGGGATTTGGTCAGGACATCTGAGAAAACTGTGATGGGACTTGTAATGATTTCAAGCATTTAAGGCCTATAATCTGGCCTGCAAAGGAGAATTCAGAGGAATTCAGAGGTGTGAGTGGGTGTGGGGAGGCAGACAAAAATTTTAATGTTGAGCTTTCCCACTTCTTGCCTTCTACATTATACTCTTTGACTGTAGAATTAACTTGTGCATGTATGTGTGTGTCTGTGTAGGTAAGGGAGAGAAATTAAAATAAAGGTCTTTGCTGAAGGTCAGCTTTTTGAAATAAACAGAGCTTTCCCAGGAAGCCAGAATAAGCCAGTTCCAAGCCTGGTGAGCAGGTACTATTTTCCCTAGTTACTACAGATGCCCACACTGAATTTTGAGCAGACAAAAACAGAGAGGTTAAATTGGAATATGTTCCATATTTAATGAGTTTTCTTCTTCTTCCAATAATTTACCTTTGTACTTATTGCCTTTTCTATGTCAAGCATGACAGGTCTAGCTGGCAGCAAGCACAGAAAAAGAAAAATCTTCTACAGCCATGGAACAATTAATGGTCTGGGACTGCACAGTGACCACTGGTAACATACCCTGGGGGTGTAAAGCAGAAGCATTGCCAATAATGATGCTGATAGTTTCAAATGGCATTGGTGAAAACTTTACCTTCATCAACACAACCCAGATTCCATAACTAGCTTTTTTTGAGTGCCAGTACCAACCTAAAGACTAAATCCAGAGTGAGATAAACTGTGCTTTCCTAACCTGCTGGGGATAGTCCAATATTTCTCAAAGCACCCATGAATTACTTACTCAAACTGAAATAAGCTTCACCTGACTGAGATACTGAACTCAAGAGATATCAACCATTTTCTCTTATACACTGCTACTTAGCCTCTTCTTTTCCAATCTTAAGACACTTTTTAGAATAACAATATTGAATTTTATCTAGTCTCTAACACGAGCAAAGGGATCTTCTTTCCAAAACATATGTAAATTTCTGATACACCAGATACTTAGCTGGAATTAACTGAATAATTATTATAGTAAATAACACTGACCATCACTGTGGCAGGGCACTAGCAGGCAGGAGAGCAGCCTTCAGGTGACTGCAGTGCCAAATGGGGGGCGAGAGGGGTCGCACGGCCATCGGGAGGCCACCTGATTGGAGAAGGGCCTGGATGCTGGCGAATAAGAGCAGGCCCTGAGCAGTACAGCCAGCAATTGCAGCAGGGAGCTGAAGGAACAACGTCCCCTGGCTGGAGTACTGCTGCTCCCAGAACACCTGGAGGTCAAGGGTAGGAACTATGGGGATGGAGGAGGTTCCTGGTCCTGAGGAATGACCTAAAGCTACACCCTGCTGGGGCTGGATGGTATAGTGCAGCTTCTTCTGTCCGGGCAGCTTCCAGGAAGTGCTCCGCTTGTACCTCCCCAGTGAAGGGCGAGTATGGGGCACCAGAAAGCCTCAGCCCCTGCTGCCTTGAAGGTGACCCTGTAGAGGGGCACGGCTGAGGAGCACACCCCAATAGAAAAGCACATGAACCCAGGCCCATTGACTGGGGCCTGAGGCAGGGCCCAGGCATATAGACAGACAACTGAGGCCTAAGTGGGTGGTAGGCTGAGTTGAGGCCCAGGTACGGTGAGAGACTGCTGAGGCCCAAAGGAGCATAAGACCCAGAAGCCCCAGTGAAGGAGTGAAGTTGTTTCCCAGTGCGGCAGAATAGTGGCCCCAGTGAGGAGGCCGAGTGAGAGCTCGTGGCCACGTACAGTAGGGACTAAGGGGGCCTGAAGGACTGCACCTGGGTTGACTGAAGTAGCAGCAGCTGGCAGCCATGTACAGTAGAGCCTTAGGGGGCCTGAAGGACTGCATGTTGGCTGACCAGTGTAGCCAAAGTTAAGGCCCCAGAGAAGGGGCACAAGTTGAGGCCCAGGGCCATTTAAGGATACCTGAGGCCAAGTTGGGCCAGAGCCCGAATGCGGCCCAGTTAAGGGGCTGGGGGATTAATAGTGGATAGTGATTTTTGGATGCCATCTGCAAGGCATGGGACATGGTAAAGTGGAGGTTGGAGCTGTGTATAATGACCTAGGCATCGAGGCATTAAAACGGGCAGCCTCCCACAATTTTCCATCTTCTTTTATACATCAAGACGTGGTAGGTGAGACAAGGCAGACTGCCCTAGACAGGTGGGCAGGCTGACATTGTAACTGGCCTCAAGGTGCCCCCCTGTCATGATCACCATCCAAGCTTCTGGTCTGCATACAGGCCCCTCATCAAATGATGGACAGTAATAAATATTTTAACCACTTTCCTTGGATTCAACATCATGAAACAAAAAATCAGGACCATAGTCACCTAATGCCTAGTTTCCAAAAGATTCAATATAGAAACCAAAATTAACCCACTAGGCCATGTTCCCTATGTGCGGGCCGGGAGCGACCCGAGCCCTTTTCCGCACTGCACACGGGCTGTGGCCAGCAGCCCGGGCATGCCGGGTCGGAGAGGGAAGGCCGTCGAGCTGGAATTAGGCACAGATGCGTATCGGTAGTTTTAAAGATTATTTACTTACACCGAGATGGCAGCGGTGTAGGCTGGAAAGCTTGATTGAGTTGCAGTTACAGACAGACAACACAGACAGTCTCGTGGAGGTTGCTAGGCTCCACGGTGCAGAGCTCCGGATGCTCTGGGTGAACGATCCACCAAAATAGAAATCGTAAATACGTCTTATAAAAGTCGCGTTTGAAGATGGGAAGAGGTGGGCAGTGGATCAGGCCGCCAAGCTCCTCTGGATCTCACACAGGGTTTCTATTACCCTGCCGTGTACCCAGAGTCCCCACGAGATGGATGTGGAGTCCTCTTCGGCTTGGGCGGAAACTGCTTAAGCCTCTTATACGGCTAACAGGCCAATCGTTAGCCGCCACGTGTGAATAATTTAACACTAGCCAATCACGGGGGATGAATTTGCATACCGGTGGCGGGAACTCTTTTGCACCATGCATTCCTCTTGCAACATGAGCAATGCACCCTGCAAAAGAAGTTGCAGAAAAGGTGGGAAACTCGTCCCTGCACCGGGGTTTCCTCTTGCTACAGGAAACTCTCCCGTGCAATGCTCTGCAACTTGGCGGGGATAATTCTGGCGCCGAAGTGCACACACAATCATGCCTTTTGGGTCATGACACCCTATACTTTAATTGCCTTTCCTTAAAATACTAAAACTGAATGTGGACAGAATGCCAAAATTCTCAGCAAAATCTTCCCATCCATCTCCCCTTATTCCAAATGTTTGTAATTCTGAGTAAAGAAAGGGAAAGACAATATATAATGCATTCTCTGGGTTTGATGGAGGATGTAAAGGAATTATTTAGAGTTTGTATGAGGTAAGGTAAGCACTTAAAGGAGTTTTTGCTTTAAGTGCCTAGCGTACTTTAAGTGCAGCAGCCTTCCCTCATAATGTCCTGGCTATCATAAAATGCTTGCTCTGTGCTGGTGACCTACTGTTTGAACTTTCTTTGGGCTTCTTCATTCTTCTTACCAAACCTGCCCCATTTTACTGCTGGTTCTCATCTTTACAGCTAGGGGAAATTTCTAGTTTTATTAAAATTTATGAACATTTGGCAAAAAATAATCAAGTTATTTTTATTTCTGCATAAGTGAAATTCTTCAGAACAAACCCAGGGTTTACTAGAACATCAGGCATTAAAGAATGAAATACTAAATATTAAGAGTTTAGTATACATTTATCAACTTTTTAAATTCTGACTCAAATAGCACAATGATAAATGGAAGCAAACTGAGATACTGTAAGCTAAAGTAAAAATAATGAAGTGAGAGAATGAGAGAACTGAAAACTATTTACTTAATTGTATTCAAATAATAAAATGTTGTAAGTGGATTTTTTTTTTCAAGATTAGGCATATTATTGGTGAATGCTTCCTAGGAAAGCTAGATCCACAAAAGAAAAAAAAAATATATATATATACACAAAGAATATGCACTTCAAGTTCTCTCTAAATCCAGGTGAAGGACCCAAGCAGCCCTCATAAGACTTCTTATGTGAACACAAATCTCTGCTGTGACAGGGGCAAGCTCAAAGGCCCGATCTCAATATCAGTCCACCTCCTGTCAATGGGCAAACCGCCTGCCTCGCTCACCTGTCATGCCTTGCTGTAATTTAATTAAGATGTTAGTTAGACGGCAGGCTGCCCTTTGAATGCCCAGCTGCATCATGGGTGGTACATACACACTGACTTCCCCTTACATGTGTCCTGTGCCTTGCAGATGTCTCACTGTGTGTTACATCTCCGGTTCAAGACCAGGTCAAACTGGGCACACAGTTAGGTCTCTCACACACTACCCTCTCAGGCCATGCACACACTGTCCCTCTCCCACTGGGGCCTCTCACACTCTGCATGTTCTCACCAGACCTCCTTCACACATGCCCCCATCGGGCCTCAGTCATTCCACCCTGCTCCTTTGAGTGGCTCCTGTAGGCCATCAGGCTTTGCTCTCCTCTCTTCAAACAGCTCTAGCGCAGCCTTCTGGGTCTCTCCCATGACCCTCATCTGAACTAGGCTGAACGTTCAATCAACTATGGGCCAACTTCGCCCCCTAGCCCCTTACTGGGCCACTTTGCCCCTTCTTCAG